CCCCACCCCCCCCATACACTCCTTGGAAAAATGCCCAGAGCAACAGAAGATTCACAATTACCAGTAGGAAGGACAAAGCTTCCATTCATGAAGTACAACTGAGGTGTTGTACAACTCTGTTTTCACAGCATAAATTTCAAAATCCCAGCATAAGCAGCAAGAATCCTTACCCTCCAGAGCAGCTGTACTTGAAAAATATGAATTTATTGCATCTCTACATAAGTTTGTTAAAAATCTGTCATTACTTTGAAAAGATGTCTTATTTGTGATCTTAAAGATACACCCAAGAGAGAATTAAGTGAGACTACACATGAACCTGTTGAAATGGAGCTGAATTAAACTTCCCAGATTATTTCAGAGGAAGGGGGAAAAAAAATATGAAAGAAAGAGATAGAGGAAGAGGAAGAGGAAGAGGAAGAGGAAGAGGAAGAGGAAGAGGAAGAGGAACTTATCCATTCCAGGGAAAGAACCAGGATAAATTTTGCCCAGTTATTGTTTCATTTTTTGAAAGTTCTTGTGTAGCATAACTACTTGTCTGCATGTTATAGAAAAGTTCCTTTAAACATCTTAAAAGATCTACAGGTATCACAGGAGAAAGAAGATGATCAGTATTGCAAATGTCAGCCTAGGCTGATTTTATCAGAAATAGTGAGAACCTTCCCTACACAACAATCTGCATTTTCTTGAACTTGTTTACAATGCACGTTAAATGCAGAGACTAAAAAAAAGGAACCAAAACATAGCAAAAAAAAAAAACCAAACCACAAACAAACAAACAAAAACAAACAAACAAACAAAAATACCTGGTGAGCTCTTCTTTAATCTTCAAGGGTTCATGTGGGTAGAATTTCACTCTAAAGCACATGGTATATGGTGGATGAGCTGAAACATTATAAAGAAAAAGCATGAGAACAGTAGCAAACAAACATTCCTTAAGTCACTCTGCAGGAGTGACCTTAAAGACTCTTACTAATGGTTAGTATAGGCAGAGATTCAAACAAGAGCATTATTACATATGCTTTATTTTGGGGTGGTCTTTTTTGGCAAATGATAAGCAGTAAGCAATAATACTACAAAATTGAAGAAACCATTTAGTTAATGAAACTAAAGACAGTTGAAATATTTCTGCTCCCAGTATTTAATAAGATTATAGTACCTAACTCTGAGCAATGCTATCAATACCAGGCCTGACCTACAATCTTGTCAATAGAAAAGAAAGAGGGGAAGTAGAGAGAGGAAAGGGGTAAAGGGAAAGGAGAAAGAGGAAAGAATCACAACAAGAAGAAATAATTCAGTTTTGCAATCAGTGCCTCTCAGGCACTTTGATTCAGAGCAAAGCGCAGATCTATAATATTCTAGCTAGTTTTAAAATATTTTGGTCTTGGTAAATTCTCAATGTATGTGGTCAATTTTAAATTTCCAAAACATTGAAGAGATAGTGCTTTTACAGCAGGAAAAGGGAAGGCAGAAGTAAAGAGCAAAAAAAATCCAGAGGAAATAAAAGACACCACCAGGTGAAATCAATAATTACTTTTTTTAATTGTAAATTATAACAATAATTGGTAAGCTACCAGAACATTTTACTTAACCGTGTTCTTAAGCTTACTAGTTCATAGGCTTGTATAAAATTCATGTGGTAATTAGTTCAACAATCATGGTAGTCTTTAAGCTACTCTGACTGCAGTAATTACCTGTATGGTGTAGTGTTCCAGAAACACATCTTTGGATATCACACAGTTCCATGTGATGTACAACAGCAACAGAAAATAAAAATGCATTAAATCTTTTGTTATATCTGGTATCTTTTGGAAGGTACTCTTCTTGAAGTTATAGAAATATTTTCCTCTTTCAAAATCTCACATTGGACTTATTTTACATACAGTCAGCCTCAACAAATCTGCTGATTTCACTTTTTTTCCCTTGTTTAAATAACTATTCATTTAAGACACAAGGAGGAATTTCAGAAGGGATGGCAATGGAAATATGAGAAGTACAGGAGAAGAAAAATATCAAATAATCAATAAAAAATAGAAATTAAGTGGAAATGAAGAGAAAAAAAAAGCCTTAATTTTTCTCCAGAGATGGTTTGACCTTTCACACTTTTCAAATCTGGAGTAGCCTTCTGAAGACTAGAAAACACACAGTCTGTTTTCTGTGGTTTTTGCTGTCTTAGATGTGACTGCTGCATTGTCTTACAGTGACTGGAAACAGTCTGCAAAGCAGAAGACTTTGTTATGTCTTCCCTGCCCTGTAATAGCAAAGTAGAAGGTAAAGTGAGCTCACTGTCCCAGAAATGAAAGCAGCCATGCAGAAACTCACTAAGGACTCGTGTTGCCTGGACAAAGCAGAACTAAAGTCATCTTAAATGGTTCTGTCACTCCTAAATAGCCATGTTAAAACCAAGCAATGGAGGAAAACCTGTGTTTTTAAAGACTTTTAAATGTTTTGGCAGATTTAGAAGCTGTTTGGAAATAGCGATGAAGATATAAAAATAGCTAATACATGTGTCTTCAGGGCCCTAGCAAATACAAGCCTACTGCAAGACCACAAAAAGATACTGAATTTTACCCAATTTTCCAGGTGTCAATAAAAAAAAATAAATTCTTCTGTGGTAAAAATTAAGAAAAAAAAAAAGTTATAGTGGAAGATCCCATTCTGGCAGTATGTGGCAACCACATAATATCATCTCACCTGTATGCAAAGAGTATCACAGTGAGGAAATGAAGGCGCACACAGCACTATAAAAATAGCCCACATTCATATGAAAGGTTAAAGTAGGAAATGTTTTACTTGTAGCAGAAGAACAGTATGTGACAGAAGTGCACACCAATGCACAGGACATGCAGGAGATTTGTCAAGGAAGCTTAAAGCCTATTTTGCAAATCTTTTCCTAGACTCAAGATCCTGTAACAATATTCCTCTTCAGCAGTGCAGCAATACTATACAAGTCTGCTGCAGTCTGCCAAGCCAAGATCCTTTCTGTATTGCTGTGCAGGAATGGAAAAAAAAAAAACCAACTTGAAATTTGAAATGGTAAAAATAGTATGAACCTATCCATCTAATTAATCTCTATAGATAAGAAGGTTCCCTGCAATTACAGGAGATCCTCTTCTTCTGTTTCTTATTCTCAGTTGGAAAACCAGCCACAATGAACATTTGAATGGGTAAGGAGGGAAATCCCAAAAGCCATCCAATTTACTCTCCATCTTAATTTTAAAGATAATGTTCTTCCAAAGAGACATTTGATGATATGTAAACATTAAGCAAAGCCTTTGTCTTACAGATTTTACTGCACTGGAGAAATGCACGTGACAACTTCATGTTCTGTCTTTGGTTTCTCATAGCAGAAATCAAGATAGGCATTGAATTTTATCAGCTCAAGAAACATGATTGTCAAGCCAGATAATTTCTCAGCTCTTTGAAAGTAAAATTGCTTTTGACCACTTACATATTAAAGTGGAAACTTTAACAACAAACCTTCCCAAAACAGCAGAATTTTCAGAAGCACATTTCATCAGCACAAAACTAGCAAGCACATAATCAGTTTTTTAATAGCTGTTTCTTAAAAGCCTTTTCTTTCAGAAGGTCCTTTATGTCTCAGACAAGGAGCAGCTGGCATAGTGAAATGCCCAAGGCTCTGTCACAATTTCCTACCATTAGAGTTCACTTTCTCACTAAAAAACATTCACAATTACAATAATTTCAAAGGACTTTAGTGTGGAGAATAGTATTGACAGCAAACTCCATTGAAACAGAGCCATTATTTTGCCAGTTTATATGCTAATAGTACTTAAGAGGTGAAGGAAAAAGTACAAATAAAATCATTTAAGTTATGCTGAATGCTGAAACCAGTCACGATCTAAACACTCATGAAGGAGTTACATACAAAGCATAGTTTTCTGGGAAACTGGTTGTATGTTTTTTAAGTTTATTTCACTTACATTTAAGGAAGATACAGCATTCTATGTACATCAAACAGGAAGGATTGCCCTAAAGTACACCCAGACCTACAACACCATGACCAGAACAAAGAGATATGGGAGATGCCTCCCTTGGTACAGGCATCAGTAAGTAAGGGAGTCTCACATGAACTACTTTTAAGCAGTCTACAAAAATTTCCACACATTTATATTACCATTTTCTCCACAGACAAAGAATCTGAAAAAAAGAGGAAAATATTTATATGTGCTAGTTTTGCCTGGGGTAGAGTTAATTTTCTTTGCAGTGGCTGGTATGGGGCTGTGTTTTGGATTTGTGCTGAACACAGGGTTATATAATACAGAGATGTTTTTCATACTGACACCTTGGTTAGGAGACTGTGAGTGCATGGAAAGTTGGGAGGAGACACAGGCAGGACAGGTGACTCCAACTGATCAAAGGATGCCATATCAAATGCCAGATGACAAGTCATCATATTCAGGATATAAAGTAGGAGGAAGAAAGAGGAAGGGGTGACTTTTGGAGTAAATGTCTTCCCAAGTCACTGTTATATGTGGTGGGGCCCAGCTGTCCTGGAGATGGCTGAACACCTGCCTGCCCATGGGAAGGACTGAATGAATCCCTTGTTTTGCTTTGCTTGTGTGTATTTTTCCTTTCCCTATCAAATTGTCTTTGTCTTAAACCGAGAATTTTCCAACTTTTACCCTTCTCTCCCTGATCCTGATGGTGGGGGACTGAGAAAGTAGCTGCGTGGGTTGCTGGTTGGGTTTAAAACCAACACGACAAAAGATGAAAATAGCTTTTAAAAGCTATTGAAAAACTTGATTGAAATTTTATACATGTCAACCAAATAGAGAAAGATGGGAGATTCTCAGCTGACACTTTCTGAAAGGTTTGTAAAACTTTCTGCATTTCTCCTTGACGTTACATGTTCTCTGCAAAAAGTTAGTGAAATTTAAGAAACAAACAAACAATCAAGAAAAAATATTACACTCAAATAGTCTTCATGTTCACTAGTTCTGCAGAAGCATCTCTGGGGCACCATTAAGACATACACAGTTGTTTCCATATACCTGTTCCCTTTCCAGATGAATCAGCTGTTTATCCATATTCCTTGCTGAGCATTTTTAAGACAGACAGAACATTACTTAGTGTTTCTATGCATAAGGGCTACCTGATCCATCATAAATCTCAAATTTGGGGTCTCCCACATTGCACTCTATTTGCAGAACAACACAGGGCAAGGTGGATTTTTATCAAGCTTAAAATAATGAATAATAAAGCTTAAAATGCTGTTATTAAATCTTTGTGAGGATCACAGAATACACAGCATTCAGATTAGTGCCTGAAGGACCACACAAAACTCCTGTTCTCATTGTACATGTATTTATGAATCTCATATTTGATTAAATTTTTCTTTACATTTCTACTGCAACTCCCTGGTTCATTCCACCTCCTTTCAGGTTTTAGGACAGCATCCTAGAGATCACAAAAAGTAATTGAAAAATTCCTATGACCTGTCCAGAACATCCTTTTATCATTATTCTTTTAGATCATAGAATCTTAGAGTGGTTTGGATTTGAAGAGACCTTAAAGATCATCTAGTTCCATCCAGCACTTCTGCCATGGGCAGCTTGCACTAGACCAGGTTCCAACCTGCCCTGGAACACCTCCAATGACAGGATACCTACTACCTTTCTGAGCAACATGTTCCAGTGCCTCACCACCCCCACAGTAAAGAATTTTTCCCTAATATGTAATCTAAACCTATGCTCTTTCAGTTATGCAAGTCAGCAGGAAAAACATGGAAATTTAGAACTCCTGCACGTCACAGCAACAGAAATGATTCTGTTCCGCTGTCATCAAGAACAAATTCCATATATTTGGATATTTCCCATCAAGCAGGTTTTAGGAGAGCTGCATATTACTGTGCAGAATAATCTTTGAAATTAATCAAAAAACAGCAAGAGAAAAAGTGCATGGGAAAAATCTTTATTTAAACATTAGTGCTGATGTGACTCAGGTTTTATACCATAATATTCCTAGACAGAAAATAAACAACAAAAAATGTAAGACTGCCAAACAGAAATTTACTGCCACTATTTGTACCACTATACACAAAAACACAGAAAAATTTCTTTTAGAATTTCTGTATCCTGAGCCACAAAGATACAGCTTCCTTAAGCATCCTTCCAGAGAGGTTTCCATCACACCCTTGGAAACACACCGCTGGCAGCTGCTGATCATGGGTCACCAACTGGCTTCAATCTGTACAAACAAGACTGGCAGTGGTTCAGGACATTTCTCAGAAACTAAATTTTTCCCTCTCAGGCAAAATTAGTGATAAAAATGGCTGAGGACCTAGACTTTACACATCACATTAAAACACAAACATTACAATGATAATGGAAAACAAAGGTAGATGGTGAGACAAAACAGACACCAGGCCTTCATTCTTTTTGTGGGGCACCAGAACACATTTAAATATAGTTTCATATGTAATATGAAAATGTTTTAAAAATAGAAATATTTTTTAGAAATAGAAAATAGAAAATGTTTTAGAAGATTCTTCCTGTTGTATTCAATGTTGCTAAGAATGAACTTAAAATAATTTTTTTTCCAAAGCCAAAGAAATTAAAATTGTAGCACATCACACAAGATCCTATGGACACTTCAGACCTTCAAAGACACAACATTCTGTTCCACAGACAGAAATGTATTGTTGCCAGATTGTGAGTTCTGTACAACCTGACTATATAGAGGGATTATGCCTGAATGATTCATGTACTACTGAGGCCCATGAAAAGTAGTACCTACTAGAAAGTATACTAGAATACTTCTACTAGACAAACTTTTTCTGCTTCAAATATTTGCCAGTATTGAGCTGCATGAATAAACAGACTGAAAAACTTGCTGCTGTGCTGGAGGATAAGGAAAGCTCCCCACAAATGGTAGCTGAGCTCAAGAACACGGCATTTTTGAAATGTTTCTGCACTTATGCAAGTGCTTCACAATTCTATGTAAATCTAAGCATTCAACTGATTTTAGAACTTCTTGAGTCATTAGTATTATCAGAGAAAATTATTCATTTTTTCCTGAATTTCTTAATGCAAAGAAAGAAAAGGAAACATCCATCTAGTACAGTCACTGTGAATAGCTTTCTGCCATCATTTCTCCCAGAAGTCATGTTTACATAACACTTGGGCTATGAAACAGTCACTTCACTGCTTCAGTTTTTAGCCTTTCCACATTCTACTAATTTCAGTTCTCACTTGTGCCACCTCTGACTGGGATGTTTTACAAATGAGTATCAATAATTTCTTCTTCTGAGTCTAAACCTTTTTATAGTAAACTAAGTATTTTTAGATCAAATATGAGTTAACCTTGTTCCTTTAGAAATTGTTTGATTTTATACACTAATATAGCCTATTTTTAGAAAAATAAATCAAAAGGTTCTTGATATCAAATTCATATAAAAATGTCCATGAAACCTCTGGGACCATAATCTTCGTGGGTTCTACACATGTACAAAATATATATACATGGCTTCATTTTTTTTCCTTAAAGGGTTACTGTAGGAACTAAAGTCCTTCTTTTGTGATATAAGAGAAAGTTAATTTACACTAGTATTTTTGAACATAAGTTGCCAACAATATAGTTAATTCAACTTCCGTGTCCTAAATTTAAGGCTGGTTACAAAAATCCTTTGTTAGCATCTCATTCTCTTTGGCTCTAAAGACCATTTCACCATGATAAACAGTCTCATGCTAGTTTGATTTTATTTTGCTTTTTTGGTATGTATTCATTTATTTTTTAGAGTTTTGATTAGGATTCTATCACAAAAACCACAAAAATCCTCTGATGAGGCCATGAAATCACTACATCTACAGAATTCATGGACTACCATCTATCACATCTAGGCACTATCTATATGCAGGAAAGGTTGTTTTGAATAAGTCAAAACATTCTCAGCACATCTGTTGGCAGAGCCCCTGCATGTGTTGCTATGCAAAGTGCACAAGAGGAATGAGCCCGTATGCTTTTTTGGGTAAAAGCAGTGACACAAATGCAAGCCAGAAGATACAGTCAGGAAACTGTTCTACTTTTGATAACACATTGGAAGGAAGCAAGAGATTAAGAAAATTTACAATTTTTACAATTTCTCTGTTCTTCCTTCTTTTCTTCCTTTACTAGCATTGCTGAGGAGCACAACTTAGTTCTAATCTGATATTTTTGTACTTAATTATATTACTGGATATTATTTCAGCCAGATAAACACTACATATAGGAGTTCACACTGAATATGCCAGATACATGTGTGTTTGCATATACACACATGTATGCATATATTTCAGTATTGTTGCATTAATGGAAGAATTCCTTGAAGTATTTCATCTATTGCAGTCAACATCCAGTATTAACTGGTTTTGCACATAAGACAATCTCTTAAGCCTCACAACATTTTCAAGGAAATACATTATCTCCCACACAAAAAAGTTCCTTGTACTTATGCTTAAAACTGAAAACTGTATACAGCTGTATGCAACCAATACGAGGATAAAATTCTCCTTTATTTCCTAAGGTAGGTAGGTAGGTAGGTAGGTAGGTGGGTGGGTGTGTAGCTAGCTAGCTAGCTAGCTAGAAAGATAATGGCCAAGACACAACTTGCACCATGTCAGTTCTCCAGAACTGCCAGATGAACTGTCTTCTGCTGCTGGATATAAGATCCTGAGTACCATAGCAGTTCTGTTTCCCAAAGAAGTCTTCAGAGTTGGACTATTTAATGGAAACCATAGGTCCAACAGTAACATTTCAAACAGATAATTAAAATAATACATTCCTGTTTTAAAGACACTTTTAAAAATACTGATCTTATGTTCATTCCTCCTTTACCCTTCACCTGTGGCAGCACACTCACCACTTAGCCCACAGTGCTTGAGTTTGCTGGACAGTAACAATGATCTCAAGCCAATGCTTTGCATTTTCAGAAGGCAAGTGGCAGCAGAAAGAAGGAAAACCAGAAAAGACCCAGAAGCAATTGCCACGCTCCATTTTCATTGCCATTTCTCAGTGGCTGATTGTATCTGTCTGAAAATGAGAGCTGGAACATCCCAGTTCATACATCTTCCAACCAGATCTGTCACCCCATGTCGGCTGGCCTCTGGCTGTAGCCATGAGCAGTAAGGGAAACCTTTTGATGTACAGAAGAGAGATGGTAAATTCAGGTAGCATGGAATGTTTAGGACTCCTTCATGTGCTAATATGAAGGACCTCTTTTCACTGAGAAACAAATGAAACTTATTCTAAATTACTGCATGGAAGCACAAGAAAACCTTCAGTTATCTAAAAATCAGTTTAAAAACATAAGCTTTCAAGACTTACATTTCATTTGCTTGAAGATGGACTTGTTGGGCTCAAGCCAGTGCTGGAAAGACAAAGCAGAGAGCAGAGGTTAATATGGATCACAGTAGACAAAAATAGCCTTGTAAATGTATAAGGTACCAAAAATGAGAAGTAGGAATTTTGTTTCACTGAGAAAACATAAATGAGAAAAGCACCTCCATACTGGAATTACACTGCATAAACATTCTTGATATCACCCATGCCTATAAAATAGATGTAGTTGAGACATAAATAAGACAGATATTTCAAAGACACATTTAAAGGGGACAGGTTGTGGTCCTCAGCTAGCAGTAGACATTTTAGTCTCACACTTGCAGCCATTTTTTTTCCGAGAAGAATGGTCATATCAGACAGTAGGACAGATTATTCAGAAACTTTAACACTGTCTCCTCATTAGTGTCGTCTTCTACATTTCTTAAAACTGAAGAATATTTAAGTACTATATCCTCAGGCAAAACAAACAGGACACAAGTTATTGCTCTCTACTGGCAATAACTAAAAATTTCAAGGGAAAAAGATTGCACTTTTCCAGGAAATGTCCACAATACAGACAGCTAATATAAAGCAGAGAGGTACAGATGCTTATCAGTAGGTGCATAACTTCACCAGAAAAGATGCTTTTGGCAGGAAAAGTTTCATATTTTTTAAATTCTCTTAGAAAAAATACTCAGGTACTTCTGTAACCAAAAGTTAGGCTCCCATTTTAGTTAAGAGCCTTAGCACATCCCCTGCTAGCACTAGCTGACCTGCTCAGGAGGATGTTTTATCAGACAAAAGAACATGCTGATATTCAAGTGCCACTTCTGACCATTGCCAGCACCTTTTGTATTAGTATTTTTCATGTAAGCAAAAATCTCCACAGTAAAATGAGATTTGTGCTGTGGAAGCAGCTGGTCAAAAAGCACAGCATTCAGTTTTAATAAGCATACTCAACACTGGAAGGCCTTGCACTAAGGGGTTTCATTTTTAACCCGTTCATTCTAGCTCTAAACCCCTTTGGTCAACTGCAAAAAGAATACCTAGCATTTATTAAACCATACATAATACATAAAATATCCTACATGAGCTACCATTTATCCACATAACCATTAGTAATTCTACTGCAGAGAAAGACCAGGTGTAGATATTTTGTAGTTGTTAATAACTGACAGAACATTATTATTTTAAAAATTCTGACATCTCAATTCAGATGAAGTCAGGATAACCCTAAATTAGTTTCCTGAAAGAGAACTTTTGATAAAACAAATACTTTGGAAAGAACATTTTCAAATATCTGTGCTTTATGTTCTTTCTATGGTTGCTCAGAAACTTATACACATATAGTTTACAGTAGTATTGGAGATAAGCTTTGCAACAAATTTATATTTGAAGTTCACTTATCACTGAGAGACAATGGAGCCCTGCTACAAACAAAACAAAAACCCACCTTCAAACAACAGCCACAGCGAAACAGCAACCCTCCAACACCTCTTTACCTCTTTACCTATTCCATTTTCCCAGTGTCTCTTTTTTTTAGGGGAAAAGATGAAAGAAACATAAGTGAATCAGCAATGACGGTTTCACTGACTTACCAGAAATATCTAGCTCATTTCATTCTTTTTTTAGATCATACATATAAATTATTTATATGTTTCACTCTGAATAATGGGGGCTGAGAGTTGCTCATAAAAAGGTAATGACAATCTGATTTAAGAAATCTTATACAGTCTGCAGTGGCTTATAGATACATAATCCAGAATGAATTCATGGATAGGAAACCAGTCAAGACACACATAGATATACAAGTGCACTTCCCTTATCCTCTTCACAGACCCACCCCATATCCACCAGGATCAGGCCAGTCCTAGATAAAGATTCAGACAGCAAAGGGGGACTTGGACAGTCCCCATGCTGCACTGCTCCCAGGAAACTGAAAGTATTCACTATTCTCGTCTACCAGAAACACAACACAAGTTTCTTAATATTCCTTTTTAAAATACCAGGTTAGAATATCAGCACAGAGCAGATCAGCATTTAGAACTGTTTGAAAAAGTTAATTTACCTATTATAACAGAACAGTCAGAGTTAAAAAAAGCCAACTGGCAAATATGCAACCCTCATACCAACCATGTGAATAATGAAAGGGGGAGATATGGGTAAAATTCCTCAAACCCCCAGGAATGCAGATTTACCTAACACATACAAAATCAAGTATGTTTCACTAAGACATGACCTTCATGGGTTAAAAACAGATTGAAAAGACACCAAGCAATTAAGCAATCTAGGCTTTCACATGGAGGTCATGGAACTGGCAGGCAGTTTCTACAAGCTCAGATTTCTATTGTGACCTTCTGTTGGTGGAAGATTGCAAATGTGTACACAATTCTGCTGAATCTTCCAGAAAACTGAGGAGTTACTTTATAATTTGTGGAGACTTTCAAAGGCACAGCAATTAGGTGCTTAATGCTCTTTGACTGTCAGGGGAAGATAAACACCTAGTCATTGCTAATACTTCTGGAAATAGCCACCCCTACATTTGTTTGCATATTTCAATTTGAGTTTTAGGAAAGATTTTCCCTTGAGTACTTATCTTTCAGGCTTACAGCATTGACTATTAATAATTAATACCTGTGCCTCATCTCTGCTATACAGTATCCAAGCTATATTTATTCCAAGATTAATTAGCTGTTATAGTTAGGAGGAGATTAAGGTTCCTGTAAATTAATCAAACTGTTTCTGCAGAAACTTTAAATTGAAAAGAATTTGGTTTTCCAAAATGCTTTTTTCATGTAGCAATATTTTTTAAACAATTTTCCTGGAAAAAAAAAAAATAGGTGAAAGGAAAATATAACATTTTTAGTTAGCTTGTCAAGATAAATTTTAGAAATATTTTAAATGTTCAGCTGCAAAAGAATGTCATTAATATGTAGGCAACACTACCTTGCAAGAACAGTTCACAGATGTTGTCAACTCTTCATTGTAAGGAGTTATTGTGCCCTTTATTGTACTTGATAAGACTAATAAAAAAAACCCAAACAAAACTATTCAGACATATAACTTTAACTAGAGACAAGAATCTTTTATTTCTTTCCCAGTGTGCAAATCAGGGAGAGAAAAAAACTCCAGCAATTTTAAGCAGTTTCATTTCTGTCTCATGCATTTGACACTGTAGTCCACAAAGGCTGCTTTAACTGAAGGATGGCCTACACCCTACATGAAGCTTGGCTTCATGTGTGATAGTACTTAACAATCACCAGAAATCATTCCTTTCAGGGGCTAAACTTCTTGTTTCACTGAAAGCATGTTAGCAACATGGTTGCTGCCCAATGGGGAACAAAAGCCTTTGATCCTAATCCTGCTAACACATTGCCAAGCATCCTGAGAAGAGATTCATGTTCAGCACTACTAATTTCTAATCTCTTTGTTAAAAGAGGTTTCAGTAACTGCTGGGTATCTCAGTGATCAGACAGATACCTTCACAGAAAACAAAAGGGAGAGAAAAAGATACACAGAAATCTTGAAGGTCAGTCATGGGAGAGCTAACAAGTCTTGGTACTTCGAGTGCCAGTGGTGCATAAGTAAACTATCATGGATATCATTTTTGGTGCTGGGATCCTAAAATATGCTGAGCCTTCTGACTAATATTTCATTGCAATCGCATGCTGTGTTTCAGACTAGTGCAATTTTTATTTTGTAAATAGAGCCTTCACCTCTGATCAGCCCTTAAATGGCGCTGAGTAGTCATTAGTGAGGCCAGGTGTGTTCTTGCTTACCCACAAATACTGAGCAGCTGATGTCCTATCAGCTTTCACAGCAAAAGATCAGGACGAACAGGGACACCCTGCAAGGACAAAAGCACCATTCTAGAAAGCCAACACCGCAAGCACTCATATGCTTTTTGTAAAAACACTTCAGTCTGTTTCAAACAAAACCAATCACTGAGAAGGTCTGAGAAGACTGAGATTGGTCTTGATTCAACACAGGGTTAAGAGTTTTAAAATAAGAAGCTGTAAGGAAAAAGGAAAGAGTGATAGAATTACGGAATGGCCTGGGTTGAAAGGGACTTTAAAGACTATTTTGTTCCACCTCCCATGCCATTGACAGAGATACCTGTTACAAGACCAGGTTGCTTAGAGTTCCATCTACCCTGCCATTGAACAGTCCCAGGGATGGGCCATCCACAGATTCTCGGGGCAACCCGTTCCAGTGCCTCACCACCCTCCAAGCCAAGAAGCTTTGATTGATTAAGTCCCTCTGTTTGCAAGAGGAGCAGTTAATAAGGGGCAACTGGAAGTGGCCAAATACCATGAATACTTAAATTTTGCTCAGCAAGCAATATTTAGCCAAGTGCTTGGGTGTGCATACAGTAAAGCAGAATCAGAAGAACCTGCAGGTTTTACAAAAATGTTTCAGGTGAGGGCTGGATTGGAAAACTTTGTTTAATTGACAGAAAAGGCCAGAAGAATGGGTATATGGAACACTGCTAGAAAAGTTAAAAAATAATTCATTTTATTTAAAACTCGACCCTACATTAATCTTGAAAATGTGTATCTCATCTTTCTCTTGAATGAAGAACCAAATCAAGGTAAATTTGCTTTAACTTCAAAGAAGTGACTTGCATGGGATTATCACCCACCAAAAAAAAAAGAAAAGAAAAAAAAAATCTGAAGCTCATGGAAGCTCGGACAGGGGAATTAATTAGGTGTCCACTCCACAGAGATATAAGAGATGCCAAAGGGCCCAGGGCATTATGTGTGTCACCTTCATGCCCTAAGGCAAATAACATTTTTTCATGGTTTCAAGAACTTTTATATCAAGAGTATTGATGTTGTTCTGCTGTAGCAAAAGAGCTGCTCCTCTGGTTTTTTTTCCAAAATCAGGGCACTGATGCTATTTAGTGGCATGCTAATGAGGAAGAAACAAGGTACCATTGCTACCACAAGCCTTTATCTGGTGCCAAAAAAGCAGTCACATACACTGGAACAGAATCACCATTTGTATGATTCTGAACTGGAGTTTATTAAATAAATTTGCTAATTATCA